CTAATGTAAGTCTGCCTGCAACCATGCAACTCTCCCCATCCTGATGCCACGGCAACATCGCACAGCTCACCTCGAATGGGTTCAAATTGAAGTAGGAAGAACCAGGACGGGTCAATCTTTCAATCTGATTTTTGGACGTCAGAACTGAATCTCTCTTCTCTATTTGTTTCACCTAAAATAAAAGGGATAAAAACTTCGTTTAGTTAAAAATAAATTCTGAGTTCTCATCTTAAGTTACTCACTGACATGTTCAGCAAACATTTGTGTATCTACGTGTGCAAGCTACTTTGCTAACCACTTTGAGGAAGAATTACAACACCTGCCATTTGCTGATTTTTAATAACATGAAAACTTTACACATTTATTCCACTCAACGATCCTATACAGTAGATTCTATTACCTCGTTTCACAGATAAGAGAACTGAGACTTAGAGAGGTTAATGGACTTGTTACCAATTACCCAACTTGTAAATAAGAATTTTAATCTTAACAATTTGATGCCAGAGCAACCATCGAGAGAATTCAAAGTCCCATCCACCATCTTCAAAAAGTTTTCACTCTAATGAGAGAAGATGCAAGAGTGTTTTCACGCTTAATTTACAAATCTTTAAAGAAAAAAATACTTCCTGGATGGTGTGGCTCAATGGATTGACCACCAGCCTGTGAACCAAAGGGTCACTGGTTCAATTCCCAGTCAGGGCACATACCTGGGTTGCAGACCACGTCCCTGGTGGGGGGCATGTGAGAAGCAACCACACACTGAAGTTTCCCTCCCTCTCTTTCTCTCTTCCTCTCCCCCTCTCTAAACATAAATAAATAAAATCTTTAAAAAAAAAGAAAAAAGTACAATTACACTGAAATATATATTAAAAGCAGCATTAAAAAAGTACATGGGAGCCCTGGCTGGTGTAGCTCAGTGGATTGAGCACGGGCCTGTGAACCAGACAATCGCGGTTCGATTCCCAGTCAGGGCACATGCCTGGGTTGCAGGCCGGTTCTCAGCAGGCCACTTCCCAGCAGGGGATGCACAAAAGGCAACCATACATTGATGTTTCTCTCCCTCTCTCCTTCCCTTCCCCTCTAAAGATAAATAAATAAAATCTTAAAAAAAAAAAAAAGTACATGGGAGGGAGCAAATTATTCTGCCTACCTGACTCTATAACAGAGAAAAATTCTTGAAGACAATGTGAAGGAGAACAGGCACTAGGCAGTCCCAGGAAAATAAATATCCTTGGTGCCACTATCAGAGATGGAATGCCAACTGGAATGAATGTTTGGTATGTTATTTACCACCATTATTCCTCTGGTCAAACGAGTTTGGAAAGATTTTCAATAACATAAAAAACCGTTCCTTCTCAGCACCTTCCCTCTTCACTCTCTTTAAAACACCATACCACTTCCCCCACGCACCCACCCAATCTTCTTTCCCAGGCTTATTTTTCCTCATGGCACTTAAATCACTACCAACACTGTGTTTGTACATCTCCTGTTTCCTGTTTAATCCCTCTCTATAGAAGGCAAGCTCTATGAAACGAAGACAGGATTTTTCTTTCCGTTGCTCACTGTCACAACTGCAGCACATAAACAGTGCACTGGTACGTGTCAGGTCCTCAGTAAACACTGGTTGAATGATTGAAGGATCCGCCTTTAGGTGCTTTCTCACATCCAAGTCGAAGAAACCAGGGTTGCTTTTCTCCCCCTTTTAAACTGAGAGTTGATAAGTGAATCAAGTTCCACTATAACTGCTGAACACTTTCAAGTGAATGAGGCATTTCAAAAGGACAGACTACAAAGGATGTGCTCATTTCCATTTTTAAATTAGAATACTTTGGAGAAACTACTATGTAACACACATCATTAAAGACACCAGAGGTAAGATAAACGTGATCTGGTGCTTCACTCTGAGTAGCTCACAACCTGGTGAGCAACTGCATTCCTCAAATCCATGCCAACTTAAAGAGCTCCACCTTCAGCCTTAGGTCTTACAAAGATGCTTCTGCTTATGAAACCCTTTCTTATACATGAATTCCATGAACTCTCCCGTAAAAATTCATTTTAATATTGGCTCCTTTTACAGGCACGGAAACAAGATCTGATCAATCAAGGCCCTCAAAGAATTCAATCATAGTCAACTACCACGCACGAATCCAATCTGAGGTCCTCGGACTCCAAATGGCGTACTTTTCTTGCATTTATTTATTCGTTAATTTACTCAATAAATACTTACTGAGTAACCATATACAATAACTGCTGGAAAAGCGACAGTAAACGAGGCTCAGACCAAAGTGACTGCTGTCCTAACATGACACCAAGCTGTTAACTGCTGTAAGACCCAGAACAAATTATTTCACCTCCCTAAACCTCAGGTTTGTGATCTATAAAGGAGAGGTAATGTGTACCTGGCTTGATGCACAGAGCATGGCATTCGCGGACGTCAGAAATAACCACAAACGCGATTCATTACAGAGGACTAAGTAGAGAGTGGTTCCGTTTAAAACAAAAACGGGGTCCGGGACGGCTAAGTCGCCCCCAGGCAGGCCAGCCCTTGCCAGCCCCTACTCCGTAGAGTTGGGGAACTCCGCGCGCACCCAGGTACTACGTTGGGCAGACTCGCCATCTACCCGCAGACCTCAGTCCCCGGCCCCTTTGTCGTTGTTCACGGGAGTCCCCAGCAGCTGTCAGGGAGAGACGCACACACCCCCGGCCCCGCGCCGCCCCTAAGGCCAGGCTAGAGGAGCCGCCCAACGGTCCAGGCCAGGATGACCACTGCTTTCGCCCGCCGGGAGAGAGGATCCAGGCGGGGTCGCCCCGGTGCCACCACTCATCCCTCGTGGTTCACCTCACTGTAGAAGGTCATAAATGCCTCCTCTGTGTTGCCTCCGCCGCCAGAAGCCCCGCTCTCGCCTGAAGCCGCCATTTCCCCGGGCCAGCCACCACGTGACTCTCCTGCGCAGGCGCTGACTCACGTGATTCGTGGAAGCCCGCTTCTCTAGCCCCGCCTCCTTCCTTAGGACCCTTAAAGGGCTGAGAGCCCGGTCGGAAACTGGAAAGGAGGGGTTGTTTTTTCTTTTTTCTTTTTTTAACTCTCACCTGAGAACAAGTTTTCATTGATTTTAAAGAGAGAAGGGCGGAGAGAGAAAAACATCTAGCGGCTGTTTCCTCGCATGTGTCCAACCTGGGATGGAACCTGCGTCATCCAAGAACAAGGTGGCAGCGCCAACCAATGGAGCCACATGGCCAGGACTCTAGTTTTGTTTTTGTTGTTGTTGTATTTTATTTATTTTTTTAAGCAAGTCTGATCTCTTTATATATATATATAAATATATATATATTTATTTATATATATATAAATAAATATATATATATTTATTTATTTTGATTTTATTTATTTATCTTTAGAGAGGAAGGGAAGGAGAGGAGGAGAGAAACATCAAGGTATGGTTGCCTCCTGTGAGTCCCCTGCTGGGAACTGGCCCGAAACCCAAGCACGTGCCCTGACTGGGAATCCTCGATCTTTTGGTTCATAGGCCTGCGCTCAATCCACTGAGCTACACCAGCCAGGGCTTTTGTTGTGTTTTAAATTGAAGTGAAATACGCATGACATTCAACTAATCACCTTACAATAACTAATTATCATTTTAGTGCATTTACATTGTTAGGCAGCCACCACCTCAATCAACTTACAAAACAGTCTCTTCATCCCAAAAAGATACCTGACACCAACTAAACCCTCCCATTCCCCTACTTCCCAACCCCTGACAACCGCTCTATGTATGCCCTGTCTCTGTTCTGGACATTTCACAGCCATACAACATGTGACTTTTTGTGTCTGCCTTCTTTCACCTAGCATGTTTTCATGGTTCATCTAAGGTACTGCATATATAATTACTTCGTTACTTTTTATGGTCGTTCTGTATGTTCTGAATAAATACAATTTGTTTATTCATTCATTAGTTGATGGGCATCTGGGTTTTAAAACATTTTTTAAAAAAGATGATCTAGACACACAACAAATTATTATCACTAGGTAGTGGGCTTATAAGTGATTATTATTTCTACCAAGCTTCTGTTTTCCAAGTTTTTTGCAATAAACATTTGAAAATGTGCTCCACAAGCATTTTTTCCCACCCAAGTCATACAAACCAGGGCTGACATTTTTCCAACTAAAAGATGATTAATAAAAGCAGTTCTACTTTGACTAAGCAAAGGCTATTAACTACTGTTGTCCTGTTCACATTTGTTAGATGACTGAAGGAAGGTCAAGGCAAAACTTTACCTAGCCTCCTACTTATGCTCTTCGCTTCACTGCACCACATTGCCAAAAGTCCAGTTATCATGCCCATTTGATGATAACATATTAATTCATTTTACGTATTCATTCGGTACCCAATTGATCAAGGCTCTGATAACTTCAAAAGGGTAAAGTGCAAAGCAAAAGAACACAACAGGGAGCTAAGATAGAATGACTAAGGTCAGGGATGGTTTCTTTGAGGCGATATTTAAGCTGAGACTTGAGAGTAAAATGGCAGTGCAAGAAAAGGACATTGATACCTCTTGAGAAACCATATACACATACATATACATTGTTTCTACCCACAACTCAACCAAATCCGCGTATCCTGAACATAGATATCCCCTGCCCCAACCCTTATTGACATTTGTATCTTATTCTTATAGCATCTTATTGACTCTAATGGTACAGGAGAGGGAAGGCTTCCTTCGAGTGTTTAATAACAACTTTAGGATTGGAATCGTGGAGTGGAGGTGGACGCCATGTCTCATTCTGATAGATTCTGACCCCTCTTGCCCCTCCCCTCCAACCTCCTCCATTATTATCTAATCCTCTGGCACCAAAGACCTTGCTCGGGATTGGCTAAGAATAGGCCCGCCCCCTCTCAGGATTCGCTGTGAATTTCAAGAGCCCCTCCTTCTCCCTTTCTTGATTCGCTCCTCATGGCTTCATCCCGCTTCTACATCAAAAAGATTGGCTGCCCAATCGTCAGGAGCTTTAGGGCCTACCCGGAACCCCTACCGTCTGCGTCTGGCACAGTTACACTGAAAGCCATGGCAGTCCCGACGTTGGTGGCGCGGGCCCGGCTCGGTGTGTGGGGCTTGAGGGCAATGCAAGTCCGTAGCTTCGGCTCCGAAGAGGTATGCCCGTGGCGTTGTCCACTGCCCCAGCCCTGAGCGCGGGTGCCGTCTCTCCCTCCACACTTTTACCCCAGTCCTTGTCTCTCCGCAGTCAAGCAGTGTCCACTCCGGCGCGGGCTCGGTGAGGGACGCCGGTGGGGCCTTCGGAAAAAGAGAGCAGGCTGAAGAGGAACGATACTTCCGGTGAGGTCCGCGGGTGCCCGAGTCTAGCCCTAGCTTTCTCAGAGTGTTTCAGGCCTTCTTAAACGTCTAACCGTCCTGCCCACCCGACTCGTGCCAGGGGGCACCCCAACCCCCAACAGAACTCCCGGGTCCTGGAACCCATTACACCCTTGCCCCTAATTCTCTGCTGAATAGTCCCAGGGCACCCAGGCCAACCCATTTTCACCTGCAAGTCTCCAGGACTCTTAAACCACGGCCCAACTCTTCCAGAATTATTTACCACCCCCGACCCAAGTCGTTCTTCCAGGGTCTTGCGAAACGCCCCCCAGGTTCTTTGCATTGTCTGGATCCGACTGCCCAATACATGCAGGCCCTTGGAGACTGACTCCCTCGGACAACACCCACTGCCCCTGTTCGGTATTCTCTTCACCACATGCCTTTTAACTTTACTAGCCCCCAATGGATTGATCCCTAGACTCTCAAGGCCCTCTCCGCCATTCCTAGACCTCCAAAGGTCTCCGACTTGGCCCGAAAGAGTGGGTCAGGGGAGTTGAGTGCTCCTGGTTGGAACTTCCTCCCCGGCTTCCTGGAGACTTTTGTCCAGCTCCGCCCAGCTGGATAGACTCTCACTCTGAAGAGCATGGAGTGGGCTGGGCCTCTATTTACATTTCTACCAACCCTGAGTTATCTTTTACTGGCTTCTCTACACACTTGGGAAGAGCACAGAACTAATCTTGTTTCTGCTTCTCCTTTGGCCTATCTTTTCACTTCTGCCCTCTCTTGCTCACTCTTTAAAAATTATCACCATTGCACCTGCCACACCAGAACGCCAAAGTAGAGCCTTTGGGGCCATCTAAATAGGCCCACACATTTTATAGTTAAGGAAAATTGAGGCCCCAAAGTGGCCAAACCAACATTTGAATTGTTTCGTTTTAAGCTCTGAATTGGACTGCCAAACACTGCCCGCAATAGTCCCTCCTTTCCCCCAGTCCCTTCTTTTTGCTCTTTACAATGGGCCGTGAATTACTGTAGGCAAAAAAAAAAAAAAGCCCTAGATAAATTAGGCGAGATTGCAGACATTGGTCCTTTAATAGACTCCTTTGTCTGTTCTCCCTTCATTTCCCCCAAAAGAGATTCTGTTCTCTTGGTTAGTCCTCTACTAAGGTACTGGGGACTTCAGTCATACCTCTCTGGAGTTTTCTGCTCTAAAGAGGAATCTAAAAGGAATAGCTCACAAATGGTGAAATTTCAAGCACTAGTACCAGAAAAATGAAATCATTTTGGTTATGTCCAAAAGATGGATACATCTTAAGATGGAATATTCTTTCACTAGTGGGGCTTGAAGTGGTAGAAGAGGATGGCCAGCCAGAATCCCATGGGATTGGGACTCCTTTGCCTTAGGTATTGCAGGTTATGCTTAGAGATCTTTTGGGGGTGACAAATTGGGATTAAACCCAGAGCCATTGTGTACTTGTAGAGCAAAGACTAGAGAACAACTGACAGCCTTGAAGAAACACCATGAAAATGAGATCGTTCATCATAAAAGGGAGATTGAACGTCTGCAGAAAGAAATTGAGCGGCACAAGGAGACCATCAAGAGACTAAAATCCCATGATGATGATTAAGTGCACACAGTTCCCCGTAGAATGGCAACATATTGCCCACTTCTATGAAGACATAATTCTGGTAATTTATGTCTGTCTGTGCTGCCAACAGATTATAATAAATTGTCATTAGTGAACTGTGTAATTCCTTCTACTGTCTGGAGAGGGGAAGGGGTACACAGCACTGGACTGCGGAAGTGAATCAGACAGGGTACCTGCAATAGGGAGCTTAAAGACAAAGCACAATATGATAAGTGCTATGCCGCACAGAGGGTTAGAAGGAGGCAGGTGTGACATAGGGAAAGGCCCCTTTCCTTATCTGATATTAATCAGAGGTTCAGAGACAGCTTCTGGAAGGGTAAACCCCAATTCAAGGTCAAGAGCAGCCTGGAAAACGAATGATTGCCTAAAAAATACTATTCAAAGCACCATCAGCCCACGTTGCACCTATAAAGTGGTTTAGAGAACTTTTCACATGAACTAGTTATCCTCGTTCTAATTATCTTTGTACAGATTGAAAGAACTGGAATTAGAAATTATGTATTGCCAATGGTCACTCAGTGAATTGGAGTTGAGATTTGGCATCTAGGTTTTTTGACTCTTAATCCAAGTCAATTAATAGCAGAGACCCAGAATTATATCTTAGGTTATATTTTGCTTCACCCAGTGTGCTGTTGTTCAAATTAGACTTTAAGGCCTTGTTTAACTAAATTATTTTTTTCTTAAGATTTTATTTTATTTTTAGAGAGAGGAGAAGGGAGAGAGGGAGAGAAACATCAATGTGTGGTTGCCTCTCACATACCCACAACTGTGGACATGGTCCAGAACCCAGGCATGTACCCTGACTGGGAATCAAACCAATGACCCTTCAGTTTGCAGACCAGGGCTTAATCCACTGAACCACACCAGCCAGGGTGACATTTTTTTTTTTAATAAACGTCTAATAATGGTTGAATAAAGCAAGCAAAAGAGTTGAAACTTTAAAATGAACGTGAAGCCCTGGCCAGTGTGGCTCAGTTGGTTAGAGCATCATCCTGCAGACCAGAAGGTCGAGGGTTCAATTCCCAATTGTGGGTTTGGTCTCCAAACAAGCAACCAATTGATGTTTCTTTCTCACTACCTCCCTTCCCCTCTCTCTAAAAATCAATAAGCATGTCCTTAGGTAAGGGTTTTTAAGGAAATTATAAAGATGAAGAATCATAAGCTTGAATTCTTTTTTACTTATTTTTTTAAAAGATTTTATTTATTTTTAGAGAAAGGGTAAGGGAGAGAGAAAGAGGGAGAGAAACATTGATCATTGACTTCTGTATGCACCCCAAACTGGGACTGAACCCACAACCTAGGCATGTGCCCAGGAGTTTAACCAGCAATCATTCACTTTGTGGGACAACACCCAACCAACTGAGCTACACTGGTCAGGGCAGCTTGAGTTCTTAAAAAGGTAAAATGAATAATTTTTGGAGCAGCCTAATTTAAGACTACCAAGTGCCCATGATTCAGCAGCATCTGGGAACCTGTTACAAATGGAAATTCTCAGGCCCCAGCACAGACCTGCTGAAACTGATGGTGGGACCCAGCAGTCTGTTTTAACAAGTACTCCAGGTGATTCTGATGTGCACTAACGTTGGGGGACTGCTGTGCTACACGTACAATGGTCTCTTAGGAAATTTGCTGGCCTTCTTGGGCATAGAACGTTTCTGTGAAAGTATTAAGTATAATAATAATGATATATATTTAATATAGTTCTTAATATGAATGCTATTTGACAGTTTAAAAATTAAAGTATGTTAAGAATTAACATTTTAGAACATAACATTTTGCAGAATTCAATTTGGAAAATACCACACTGATTTATGGCATTAGTTAAAATTCCTTTTTGTTTACAAGTAACAGAAACCAGCAGTGTCTGGCTGGCTTAGGAAGGAGAAAAAGTAATTTATTAAAAGAACAGGGGCAGCCCTGGCTGATGTGGCTCAGTAGATTGAGTGCCGGCCTGGAAACCGAAAGGTCGCTGGTTTGATTCCCAGTTGGCACATGCCTGAGTTCTGGGCCAGGTCCCCAGTTGGGGGCGTGCAAGAGGCAACTTAACCCATGTATGTCTTGCACATTAATGTTTCTCTTGTCTCTTTCTCCTTCCTTTCTCCTCTCTCTAAAAATAAAATGAGATCTAAAAAAAAGAAGAACAGCCCTGACTGGTGTGGCTCAGTGGATTGAGCGCGGGCCTGGGAACCAAGCAACCACGGTTCACTTCCCAGTCAGGGCACATGCCTGGGTTGCAGGCCAGTTCTCTCCCTCTCTCCTTCCTTTTCCCTCTAAAGATAAATAAGTAAAATCTTTTTTTTTTTTATGTTGACTTCAACAGTTCGATCCATTTTTATTTTTATTTTCTTAAATATTTATTTATTTATCTATTTATCTTTAGAGGGGAAGGAGAGGGGGAGAGAAACATCAATGTATGGTTGCCTCTAGTGCATCCCCTGCTGGGAACTGGCCTGCAGGGAACTGGCTTGCAACCCAGGCATGTGCCCTGACTGGGAATTGAACCGCGATCCTCTGGTTTGCAGACCTGCGCTCAATCCACTGAGCTACACCAGCCAGGGCCTAAATAAGTAAAATCTTTAAAAAATAAAAATAAAAAAAAGAAGAACAGGGGCTATTGTCTCAGAATTGATTTGAACAAACAAAACTTGGAAAAGGCAGGGGCCAGAGAACTGCATGAGCAGATCTGTCTAAATAGCTTCCTAACCACCTATGTCAGAATCATTGGGGCCACTTTTTAAACAAGATTTCAATGGGATTTTATACCATGAAGTTACTTAACAATTATACAATAATTTATATTTATGGAGCTCTGTACAGTTTTGCTTGTTCAATCTCGTATTTCTGGCAAATATGCCCATACCATTAGCCTAATTTTATAACCAAAGTAACTGAAACGGAACTGCGAAGTAACTTTTTCAAGGTCACACAACCAGCTTTGTGCTGAGCAAGGACTTGACTTCAGAACTCCTGGTCTTACAGTCTCCAGTTGCACGTTCCATTATAGTGGTTCAGCTGCCTATTAGCTCCCTCCTTGACCTGAGACAGGTCAGGGAACTTGCCTGGACGTCTGGGTATGGATGGTAAAAGGAGGGGTTCCTGGCAGTAAAAGTAGAAATGCCAGTAGTCAGCATTGTATTAGCTGTGACATGAACCTCGTTGCTATGTCAGTGCATGCCTACATGGTGCAAACACATTTGCCATAGAGCTCGGTTTGAGATTTTCACATCAAAACGAGTACAAAGTTGTAATTCTCAACCCAGGCTGCACATTGAAACAATTAGGGAGCTTTAAAGTTAACCTGATGCCTCAGCACTGATTAAATCCAAAACTGTGAGACTGGGGTTGCGGCATGACTATTACCAAAAAGCTCCAGGTTTTTCCAATATGTGGCTGGAGCTGAGAACCACTGGTGTACAGGGTCCTTCCAGATCTGCTGCATAAGGTATGGGCTGCCAGTTGGTCACTGCATAACTGAAGACACCTAACTGAGGGGGCCGGGGAGGACAGAAACTCAGCCCACATTCTGCTCACCGAACAGTGTACTCTAATTTAGGGTGATATTTGTGCTGAAAAAGTCACCTTTGCTCGTCTAATTTCCACAAAAAGGACTCTTGGTCACTCCACTATTCTAGAATTTGGATATTCCATTCTCAGATTTTTAAAAATATATTCATTAAAATTTATATTTAGCATCTACTGTATTCTGGGCACTTGATATACACTAAGATTACAACTATGAAATAATCAACTCCTGTCCTTGTGGAACCCACAGCTGTTTGGGAAAGACAAGTGGCTAAACAACAATGTGGGAAGTATTCTGATGGTGGTAAGTGCAGAATGCTGACTGGGGGAGGGGTGGGGGGTGAGGAGGCTGGGGAGTACTGGACGGGCACCAGCCAGAGCTGGGGCTTAAAGGGACCTCATGGTGGAAGAAGTATAACAGCAGCTAGGTAAAAGGGAGGGGGTGATATTCAAGGCTGAGTGACAGCATTTGAAGAAGCATGGGTTATTGGGGGATTAACAATAGATCAGCCTGTGCATCTGGAGCATGGAGCGCAATGATGGGGAAAGTGGAAGTGATGTGGTTGGAAGTCCTACCACTCTTCCAAGGGCTGGGTTGGCCATTAGCTTAATCACTGTCCCTCCTTCCTTTCTTTCCAACCTCTCTCCCTCGCTTCCCTCTTCTTTCTAGGTATAGTCCTTTATTAGAGCAGGAAACATCTAAACCACTTGTACCCTACTTAAATAATCTTTAACTTCAAGCATTGGAAAGGAACAAAAACCTTGGGAGTGGCAAAGGAAGAATGAAGCATGGAGAAACATATACCTCTGCTTCACTTGGTGCCGCCTGCCACAACCTCACGATTAGCAGATTCCATAGGTGTCTCCTTGTTCACTCTTTTTCAATTGAGGTAAAATTAACATAACATAAAACTAACTGTTAACTATTGAAAGCATAAAATTCAATGGTATTTAGTATATCAAAATGTGCAAGGCCCTGGCCAGGTAGCTCAGTTAGTTAGAGTGTCTGTTGTCTGATAAGTTTGCGGGTTTGCTCCTTAGGGCACGTACAAGAAGCAACCAATGGATGCATAAATAACTAGCATAACAAATCAATGTTTCTCTCTCTCTCTAAAATCAATAATAAAAAATTTTAAATCTTACGCAAACATCACCTCTAGCAGGTTGAGATATTTTTGTCATCCCTCAAATTCCATAATGATTAAGCAGTGGTTCTCCATCCCTCCCTTCACCCAGCTACTGTTCTGCTGTCTCGCTATAGACTTGCCTGTTCTAAATATTTCACATAGATGGAATCATATAAAACGTGCCCTTTTGTATCTAGCCTCTTTCACTTAGTGCAGTGTTTTCAAGGTTTATCCACATAGCATGCTTTAGTACTTCATTCCTTGTTTATGGCAGACTAATATTCTGTTGTGTGGATATACAACCTTTGGTTACTCATTCATTAGTTGATAGACATTTGGCTTGTTTCCACATTTTGTCTATTGTGAGTAGTGCTGCCAAAAACATTCATGTGCAAGTATTTGTTTAGACATCTGTTTTTAGTTCTGTTGGATACATGCCTAGGAGT